GTCCTCCCACCCTTCCCTGACCCTTCCTTCTTTCGTGCCTTGCGTAGTTGAGGCTGCTGCTTTACCACAGCCACATCTCAGCCTTGAGTCTGAGCCTCACATGCAGTCCAGGCTGCCCTCCAACTCAAGACCCATTCAGTGCCAGGACTGGGTGTGCACTGGCACACTCAGCAAACACACTGGTTTATGTTTTCTTTGTAAATATTTTCTCTGCATGCCTCCAAAGTTTGTACTGTTCTTCTTTTATAACTAGAAGAAAAAAATTCCCGTTCAGTGCTGGCGATAGAACCCAGGGTTCTGAGCAACTGATGCACAAACCCCACCACTGCATTACAGTCCCAACACTGAAGAAAAACATCTTCAGAAACTGTGAGATGACTCAGTGAGCGAAGGTACAAGGAGAGAACCAATCCCCCAAAGATGTCCCTCTGAACTCCTCAGGTGTGCTATGAGTCACGCATATGCACACGCGCACACACACTAAACAAATGTAAAGAAAACAAGAACATTTTTTTTTCTCAGACAGGGTTTCTTTGTATATCCTTTGTTGTCCAGGAACTAGCTCTGTAGACCAGGTTGGCCTTGAACTCTGAGTTCTTCCTGTTGCTGCCTCCGGAGTGCTGGGATTAAAGGTGTGTGCCGCCACCTTTCAACAAGAAGATTTTTTAAAAAGATGGTTAAAGTGCTTACTTTGAAAACTTGACAATCCAGCCAGGTGTGGTGGCGCATGCTTTTAATCCCAGCACTCAGGAGGAAGCAGAGGCAGGTGGGTCTCTGTGAGTTTGAGGCCAGTTTGAGGTCTACAGGGTGAGTTCCAGGACAGCCAGAACTACATAGTGAGATCCTGTCTTGAAAACAAAACAACAAAAGCAGAAACAAAAAAGGAGAGAAAAGAAAAAGAAAACATTTCCAGGACAGGCTCCAAAGCCACAGAGAAACCCTGTCTTGAAAAAGCAAAAAAAAAAAAAATGACGCTCTGAGTCCAACCCTCATAACCACGTGAAGATGGGAAGAGAGAACTGACTATACACACAGTTGTCCTCTGACATGGCTGTGCAATGTGCTTTCTGTCCCCCCCCCAACAATAATAAATACAGAAATACACACATGCATAAATACATAAATAAAATTGAAAAAGATGGTTAGTGGCAGAGTAGCCATTAAGGCACAGATTCCCAAGTGGCAATTAAGAAGTGGATGTCCTGAGCATGAACTCCCTTTATGACTACTGCAGGCGTCCCTTCACGCTGTCACTCAGGAAGTGGGCACACGGTGTGGTTGCTGAGTCCTGATCCTCTCAGGGGAACCACTCATTCTTACCTCCTCCAGGGCCTCATTGGCGTGGTGCTCATCAATACACTCCACCTGGAGGGCATAGGCAGATAAGCTCAGTTAGCAGATGTGTGGTGAACAGTGGCTGCTACTTACTGTCACTGCTGTCCCGATCACTATCGCTGCCATTATCACAGCTATCAGCACCTCCCCTCACCTCCAGTGCCACCATCTTCACCACCTCCACCACCACCAGCTCTCCCACTTCTACCTTTGTCTTCACCTCCTCAAGTACCAGCTCCACCTTTAGCATCATCACTGCCACCACTGCCGTTTATAGGAAAGTTAGCCAAACATGGTAAAAATCTTTCACTGGGCATGGTGGCATTGTGCTAATAATCCCAGTGCTTAGGAGGCAGAGGCAGGAGATCTCTGTGAGTTTGAGGCCTCCCTGGCCTTATAAGAAAAACCTGGTCCAATCCTGCCTCAAAACCAAACCAAACCACTTATTCTAAAATAACGTAAAGAACAAATTGAACCAGCGATGTTGGGGACAGGATTTAGCTCAGTGGTGTAGTTCCGCATGCTTTCAATCCCAGGACTCTAGAGGAAGAGGCAGGCAGATGGATCTCTGTGAATTTGAGGCCAGCCTGGTCTACACAATGAGTTCCAGGACAGCCAGGGCTACACAGAGAGGTCTTCAAACAAAGCAAAACAAATTGAACCAGTAAAATCTTTCAATGGTTCCTGAAGTCCTACTCCATGGATTTTTTCCCCTAAGGAAGTTATATGTGCTTAAGGGAGGAGACCCTATAAAAATCTCTAAAGATGTTTATCATAGCTGTTTATTCTGTGGAAACACAAATCTAGCTAAAGCCAAATGAGAGGACAGGCTGGGCCACTTACCGCGCTGAAACAGCACTTGCTGGGAGGAAACATAGCTGTCAGATAGGAGGTGAGGAAGCCGCGGTGACCGCTGAGACAGCGTCAATATATGAGATATTATCAACCTCTGTACCCTTCTTACAAACACACAGAGGACCGGAAAGACACGCAGGCTCCTGCCTATAACCCCTCACCTGATTTCTATTTAGAAAAACCAAGCTGACCTTGAACTCCAGCTCTAAGGTCTTCCTCCCAAACGCTGTGAGTATATAGTGTGCATCAAACCTGATGTGGCTAGCTTTAAAAAACAAAACAAAACAAAACTCTTTTAATTGCTCAGAAGACAGGCAGCCACTTAGGCCACTGGCGTGTGAGACAAGGCAGCTGATCCCATGGCTAGCTAGCAATAAGGTACATAAACGCCCCAGCCCCGCCCCCTGGGGCTGCAGCCGTTGGCAGAATATGGTCAGGCCCCAATCCCCAAGGTCCTTGTCACCACCCCAGAGGAAGGTGTATAAGGGACACAGCAGCCACTCCTCTTGGGGTGCTCCTGTGGGTCTACATCCCACCCCAGCTGGGCTAGTTCTGTGCCCTTTGCTCAGTCTCTGTGACCCCCCCCCCCCACTTTCAGTCAGATCAATGGTTCTGTACTAAGTGTTACTGCTTATCAAATTCAAATCCTCTCTGAAGCTGCAACCCTGGTGAGGATGGACTCCTGACAGGGTTGTTGGGGCCAGTGAGATGACAGCGGGCATGCAGACAAGCATTGGGGTTAGCAGAGTCAAACAGTGTCTCTCCTCACCAAAGCGTGTGTGCGTGGGAACAGATGGAACTCCAGGAAGTCCCACGGTACAGCCTACCCCACCAGGCTTCCTGGGCATCCTGGGTGTCGGAACGGCCTCTGTAACGTGGGATGGTGAGCTTGGAACTGGAAAAGCCACGGTTACAGAACCTTACCCCATGGCTCACAGAGCTCTGTTCCTTACCTGCTTTAGCACGTACTTGTTTTCAGTTTCCGCTTCTGTATCCACCACTACCAGGTTTACTCCTAAGGCCCCAGGACGGAACTCTTGCAAAATCTACCCTCGAGGAAGAGAGAGACTGTGAGGAAGTGCACAATGCTCTGTTTTCCACGGGTGCTGACTGCACACTGGGTCCGCCAAAGCAAGCAATACAATCTCCCTGGAAACCCATTCTGGAACGCTTAGTTTACAGCCTCATATCCCTCTTCCAGCCTGACAGTAAGAGCAAGCTGCCCTGGGACAAGGTTTAGCGGTTTTAAACCACAGCAACACCATCTTCCAGCGCCCCTCTCCAAAGAAAGCATCCCAACAAGGCTCTGTGATGGGTGAAACTGGTGCTGTCACAGCCTCCCTGAGGCTCAGCACTACAGGAAGTACTGCGCGGCCACCCCTGGTGACCTGCACTGATGCTAGCTACCTGAGAGATACTGAGGCCCAGGGAGCAAGGTCCTTGCCTGAGTATATAACACTCTGGGGTCTGAGCCAGAGCTTGTGATGGAAGCCACACCCTCAGAGCTGGCCTGCAAGGTCAGGGCTGTGGGGTAGAGGGTGGCTGAGATCTCTGAGTGCCGAGACAGTTATCAGGGTGGGGGGAGGGGACAAGATACCTAGAGGAAGTGCTGGAAGGATAGACAGAATCAGTGAGTCCTAAGAGAGCTGACCACAACATCAAAACTATGTTATTATTTTTATTTTTTTTTGCTTTAAAAGTTCCTGTTTGACTAATGCCTGTAAACCTCAGAGAATCCTGCAAAAAGGAGGAAAGTCTAACCCACGAAAGCGAAGGTTTTATTGGCTGAGTCTAACATTTAATGAGGGTGACATGGAAGGGTGGGAGGGCAGTTTTTGTGTTTTTGGCTTTTCAAGACAGGGTTTCTCTGTAACTTTGGAGCCTGCCTAGAACTAGCTCTTGTAGACCAGGCTGGCCTCGAACTCACAGAGAAAAAAGGGCAGTTTTAAAAGAACATCCACTCAGGTTTTTGTTCCTAGACCCAAGCGTACAGACACACGGGGGGGAAGGACATATGCATCATTCTCCAACCAGAGGTCAGACTGGGGGTCGGTCATCATTTTAGAGAGGGAAACTGAGGCCCTGGGAGGCGAAGCACTCGAAGAAAGGCACTAGCGGGATTATGGGGTCAGATTGTGATAGAGGCTGGTCCTCGGACCTGTCCCCCACTATCCGCGGACCCTGGGCAGCACCTGAAACTTTTCCATGGTATCTTGAGGAGACACTTTGCCTCACTGACACTCTGCTGAGTACAGGGAAGACAGTAGACCCTCGAGCCAGGGCGGTAGACAGACCCTCAACTGAGCATGCTCAGTAGTAACTACCCCGTCTGCCCACCTTTCCCCCTCCCCCCCCCCTCCGCAGCCCCACTATCTGACTTCGCCGACCCGGGGCGGGTCTGCCTAGGCCTTTGGCACGCACGCGGCGTCCTCGTACTCCGCCCCTTAAAGAAGAAGCCGCAGAGCACAGGGCTCCACGGACCAGACGGAAGGCGGGGTCCGGTGTGTTGGTCGGGTGGAGGGCGGGGCGTGCACTTTAACGACAACGGTAGGCGGGGCTTCAAGGACTAGGGGGCGGGAGCTGTGGGTGGCAGGACGTCTAGCGCGTGGGCGGGGTCTGCTGGATGGTGAGGGCGCGATGTGGGCGGGGCTTCGGGCTCTAGGGGGGGGAGATAGGGCTGTAAGGGGCGGGGCCTAGAGCAGAGGGGGACGTATGCTTGAAGGGCGTGCGGAGGGGCGGGGGCGGGGCCTTTTCTTGAAGGGCGGAGCACCGACGGGCGGCCCCTCGAGCGTGGCGGGCGGGGTCTGGAGCGTGAGGGCGCGCAGCAGGCGCGGCCCCTTTAAGGCTTGGCCTACGTGGCAGCTGCTAGAGCCGCCGCGGCGCAGCGAGGCCGGCCGCCGGGCACTTCCTGTGGAGGCCGCAGCAGGCGCGAGCGCCGAGGACCCGCCAGCTGAGCCCGCTGCCGCCGCCGCCATGGGCCAGAACGACCTGATGGGTACGGCCGAGGACTTCGCCGACCAGGTGCGACCCGCCCCACAGCCCTCCGGCCCTCACAGCCCTACGGACTCTCGCCCTCGCCTTCGCCGTCCTGCCCAGCTCCACGGAAAGATCCACGGGTGTCTGGGCGGGGGTCGACAGGGAGACTCCCAGGTCCCGCGGTGCTGCGCTCTGCCCTCTGCACCGCGGCAGCCCCTTGGGGACTTCTGGGGATGGGGATACCCAGTATGCACCCCGCTGCCCACCGTCGGGGACCATGCTGCCCCTCCCTCTTGGCGTGGACTCTGCCCCGGTTATCCGGCCTGGGTCCACGACATCGGAGGAGAGGAGCCTACCTCTCGGCTCTCCTTCCCTAGTGTACAGGTGGCGAGTGAACCACAGGGAAGGCCTGGGACGAGCCTGGGCCCCAGCGACTAGCCGGGCAGGATTAGAGCCCGAAAGAGGCGCAGGTAGCACCCACTTTTTAAAATTAAGTTCGACAGGAACGGGGTGGGAGTTGTGTAGGTGTGAGCCTTTGACTTCTGAAATTGCCCCGCTAGGTCTGCGAAGTAATAATGGAGCCTGAGCTAGCACTGTAGGCTGAGTGGTGCCGGGCCCACCCGCCAGCCTGTTCTGGTTCACTTAGTGTGTTCGTGGCTATCGGTGATCCGAAGAAGCATTTTGTGGCCTAGACTACTGGAAGGCTTGGGTGTGTGTGAGCATCTTCAGATGAGCTATGGGTCAAATAAGCTATTCTACTCCTCCTTTTGAGGGGAGTCATCTCTCATGTTCTCATTCGGTTCTGCTGAACTACTTTTGTGTGAGCTGATATTTTTTAAAAGTCATTTTCGCCCCCTTTGGAAAAGTTTTTTTTTTTAAGGTTATGATTTGGCACTAAAGACATAACCTTAAAATTGTATTCATCACAAAGACACCAAAATTCTTAAGGGCCATGGTCTTCCTCACGTGCTGGGCTTCATTGACATAATTGTCAGTGACCCATTTTTTATCTCCCTGAGTAGCAGCTCTCTAAGAAGGTGGCTTCATAGCCGGGGAAGTTTGTGAGCTGCTCACCTCACAGTCTTCTGTTGGAAAACACTCCATTTTGCAAGTGGATTTCACAACCTGACCCAGATAAAATATCCCCAAGCAGCTGCCAACTATCGAATGATAGGTTTCAACTAGAGGAAAAGCTCATCTTTTATGAAGTCCTCCATGAATTTTGTTTTGGTTTAAGCGAATGGAGCCAAAATTTGGGACTGGGCACGCTTTTGTGGGGAGCACAGTGTCCACCTCTAACCAGTGTTTGGTTGAGGCTCTTGGACTTGGCAGTAGCCACCACCCCAGGAAGAAACTCTCTGGGTCTCCTACTACAAGCCTGGTGTCCAGGGCAGCTCACATCCCGGGCCTGGAGTTGTCTTTGAGCCACACACCAGTGTGACGATGCCAGCACTTCAGTTGGCCTGTTGCTTTCCCAGTGAAGGTTCCTGCTTGTAGGGATTAGCCTCGGAACCCACCTGGAAGATAGCAAAGTACACCACGGGAGCGCCTGTGAGGCTGCTGGGAGATGTGACTCTTGCTCTGCTGAACCAGTGTCAGGACCTGTGTCTCCAGGGAGCCTTCCACAGAGATGCCCTCTGTGGCCTCAGTGTGACCAGTCCTGGGGGATTTTTGTGTTGAATATTCGCCTGTAACATTGAGGAAGGTGCTGCTAGTCTGTCCAGGTTTCTAATGAAAGGATCGAATGTGTTAGGAATCGGGTATTACCTCTAAGATGTTGCCAGACAGTGTCACACATCCGTGTTGTCTAGCCTTGTCTTTAGAAAGCAAAAGTAGAACTGACTTTGCACAGATTTGCCCAGAAAATCAGGCTTCTCATCTGAAACCTGGAAAAGTTTCTGATAGTGATGACAACACTGAGCCATTAACTGGGCATCCCTACTTTCCTGGGGGGCTGGCCATCAAGGCTCCATCTTCCTAGGACCACAGAGAGGTTTGTCATGATCTGCACAGTCCTGGTCTTGTTACCCAGAGGTCAGCTTCCCGCTATGTTGGTAGAACTCAGCCTTTCCCTTTGGTTTGGTGGAGGCTGGGCCCTGCAGGCATGCCCCTGTGAGCTACATCTCTGCCCTGGCATCTAGCTCCTTGCCCTTGGCAGCTAGGGAACGTGTCCTCTTGCTCCCAGGAAGCCAGGCCCTGAAGAGTGCTAAGTCTAGGAGATAGGCCTTCAGAGGCCATCAGAACCCAGGTGGGAAAGAGCCAGGAACTCAAAATCAGACCTGTGTCCTGTGGCTGCTGCTTGATTCAAGGTAGGCAGATTGTAGCTTCCAAGTGAATTCACACCAGGAACATTAGTGCTTAATGGATTCCGCCTGATGGCTGTTACCAGGGTGATAGTAAGGCTACAGGGGCCTTACTTTCCCAATGTGGACTTTGGTGTGTTGACTTGTCCAAGGAAGCTGGTGTGGGCCTTTGTTGAAGTGCCAGAGTGGGCCCGATGAGGTTCCTTGCACCTCATGTACTCATTGACTTGTGATGAACACCATATGGCCTGGGTAGGGCCTGATGTTGGGGTGGGGTGGGGGGCTGAGCCTTTTATTTCCCAGTGCTTTGTCTTGTACCTCTGAGACCTTTAAGGATTGGGGGAGCTGACTCACTGCTCTGCTTGTTGGTTTTGACTGGAGGTTAAACAGTGCCCCCTTCTGGGAAAGTGAGGTAGAGAGACATGGGAGGCTGGTTAGTGCCCGCAAGATGAGGCCCAGTCCTTACTGTCTTTGCCCTCTTTTAACTGCAATAGTTTATAGAAAAGGAAGGTGGTCTTGCAGCCTTTCTGCCTGTAGTGCATTGGATACCTATAACAGTGCTTGGGGATATTTTCTGGAGGTCCCAGAATCCAGGGGAGCCCCCAAACTGTTGAGCTGACCTTGCCTGCCTGTTGCTGTTCTCAGGTCCTGAGCTTGTGGGTCTTTTGAACAGAGTTCACCGAGGCATAAATCTAACGCCACATTTCCTTAAAGTTCTCCCAAACTGAGGGCAACAGCTGCCCCGGAGCCCTTTCTGTCCTGAAGACGAACGAGGAGGTTTGTGTTTCTGCTCTGTGTGAGGGCAGCAGCACTCACTGTGTTATCCTGACCTGTTTCCTGGGTCCTATCTTAGGACAGATAGGATTATATCCTAAATCCCCTCGGTCCTCTTCCCTCAGGCAGATTTAACCTTCCTCATTTTTTATTTTACTTTTGTTTTTGCATGTGTATTAGTGTTTTGCCCGCGTATACGTCTGTACCACTTGTGTGCCTGATGCCCAAAGAAGACTATATGAATAGGGTATTGGATCGCCAGGAACTGGAGTTACAGATGGATGGTTGTAAACTTCCATGTGGTTACTGGAACCAAACTTGGGCCCTTTGAGCTTTTCATTACTGAGCCTTTTAGTTTCTTATGCTAGCTGGTTGCTTCACTGCCCGTGAGCACATCCTGCTTGTTTGCAAAGCTCATGAGAAGCCTGTTTGTCAAGGTGGGTTGATTTGTCTGCCTTTCTTCCCACAAGCTTTCCTCATCAGCATCCACCACTGGCTTTTCCAGGCTCTGCAGTGAGAACTGGGGTTATGGAGTTTCTTTGCTCTTGGTATTCATGGCCAGTGCGAGCTGGGACACTGGCAGGGTCTGCAAGCACAGAAGTGATGTGGCTGTGGGACATAATGTGAGCAGGAGCTGTGATGTGTGCAGGGCTGTCTATCTTTGTTGTTAAACTCGGCTTTTCTCTTGCCTGTGTTCAGATGCACATCAAAGGAAGGCTGTTGACTGGTGCCCTGTGCCCACCTGACAGAGGCTTGTCTTTGGAAAGCAGAGCCCAGCAGATGTGCTTAGTTCAGCACATATTACCTGCAGTTCTGCACTTTCCCCCAGAAGCAAATCACTGCCGTGGTCTCCCAACCATGCTGGCGTGGAAAGGAGGTGTGACTTGTCCCTCCCTCCATTACTGTCTTCTACTCTTTAATCCTCTTGACCCAGACACTCCAATTAAGAGGAGCAGACTCTTCGGGACGTTTTAACCATATCTAGTGGATTGTAGCAATTGAGCATCTGTGGTGAGGTTCTTGAGGGAGGAGCAGGGCTGGGCTGGTTTGCTCGGTGGGTGCAGCATCATTGTAATTGTGTCGGGGAACAGTTCTCATTTGGAAGCAAGTCAGAACACCTCCAAGTGTCTGTGGCTGCTGAGAGTCCACACCCTCCTGTGGTCTGCACAGCTTCCGCTAGGTGCTTCACAATATGAGGGTCATTTCTCAGGACTGCGCTAAGAGCCGTGGTGGTGGTCTTTACCTTTTTCATAGAATATTGGTGATTGCATCACTGCTGGCTGCTTCTAGAACACAAGGGCCATGAGGCAGAAACTGGAAGGGTAAGTGGTGTCACTTGTCCCCTCACCTAACAGGATGTAGTATGTGTGTTTTCTCTACCAGGGCCCTAAAACTCAAGCACATTTGGAACTTCTTTTCCTTTTGTATTTATTGTGAGATTGGGTCCCTATGTTGCCAAACGTGGTCTTGAAATACTAGGCTCAAGTTAAGTAATCCTCCTGCCTCAGCCTCCCTAAAAGCTGGCCTCACAGGCTTTGTGTCATCATACTTGGTTACTTTTCCTGTTTTAAAGCACATCTCTTTTTATTCTTACAGATTTTCCACTCTGCAAATTGGGAAGGAATCTTAGCAGCCAGTAATTGTGTGGTCCTTACTTGTTGAAGGGTAGCAACCCCTACCCTATCCAACAGAATGCCTGGAGCACATTGCTGGCCAGGGTCAGAAAAGATCGGTTGGACAGGGTGAAAACAGTGGCCTGAGTGCCTGTGCTCGGACTCCCAGAGCTGCTGACTGGTCTCTGTTGTGCCATCAGTGTGGCTTCTGCCTCTTCAGTAGGGCTGAATAAGCACCTGCAGATGATACATGCACATCAGGGGCACAGACTGTGTGTCTAAAGGATGTGGGTATCAGTACTGTGACTTTGCTGTTCCTTGCCCCAGGTGGAGCTTGTCTGCACTGCTGGCCTGGCCAGGCCAGGCCTGGGCAACCCATTCGTGGGCTGAAGGCTGATCTGACCATCCAGGACTTTGGAGCAGTTTTCCTTCCTTCCTTCCTTCCTTCCTTCCTTCCTTCCTTCCTTCCTTCCTTCTTTATTTATTTCACTCCCTCTCCCTCTTTCTTTATTTCTTTCTCTTTTTTTCTTTCTTGACAGGGTTCTCTGTAGCTTTGGAGCTTGTCCTGGAACTAGCTCTTGTAGACCAGGCTGGCCTTGAACTCACAGAGATCCACCTATCTCTGCCTCCTGAGTACTGGGATTAAAGGCGTGTGCCACCACCGCCTGGCTGAAGCAGCTTTTTAAATTCTAAATTTTAAATTCTCCTTTTTAAAGGAGAATTTGGAAGTACTTATATACATCCTCATCTCTTCCAGCAGCTGGTTTAGTCAGCCCTGGGAGGGCTTGCACAGCCCACGTTCACTCTGCTGCCCTGGTGGGGTCAGACTCTGCCCTTTAGACTCTTCTTGACACGTCAGTCCATGGGTGGCTCCTTGATCTTTCTCCTGGGCCTCTATGATATCCTTGGATTTTTTCTACCTGCAGCTCAGCTCTGACGAAAAGTATGGAGTTCACCTACATGGCATTTGCACCTAGCTTCAATAGAGTATGCTGGCCTCCTAATCAAGCCATCAAATGCCGTCTTCACAGGGACAGAAGGGAGCCGTGAATGTGCATTTCAGAACTGCCCTTTGCTGGTGATTTTCACATTTGAGTTTCACTGTAATCATTGTCAGTCTCATATTTGGCAGTTCTAACCTTGCTTTGGTCATACAGGCTGTGAGAACATCCCAGGACTTTCTAGCCCATAGCACCAGCTGTTGATCTGTACCACAGTTGCCCTATAGGATAGTGAACTCTCCGTAGGGATTTTGTTGGGGTGGGTAATAGTGGCGACAATAGAGGCATTTGTTTTGGTGCTGTAGTTGGGAATGCTGCTTGTGGCATCTTGTGGGTGGGGATCAGCGATACCCTGCTGGTCTGTACTCTTCAGTGCTGGGGAGATAGCCCTGGATGTGATGGGGCTGAGGTGGGAGAATCCCTGGGCTGGAAGATCTCTGAGAGCCTTTCAGATAGTGTCTGTGCCTCCTACTTGTTAATGCCCCTCACTGGGCATGGAAACTGTGTGTCTTGTGGCATTTCTCTCTTGATGTCTGGAGCAATGCTGGTAAACAGTACTGGACATTGCTTTATGGTTCTGTGCCAGATGCATGTGATGATGTCTTTGTCTCTGGGGCTGAGTGTTGGATCATCACATATCCAGATTTAAGAGGGGGGCACCTAGGGCAGGGAAGGCACTGGCATTGCTGAAGGCCTCTGCCTTGCACAGAGCTGGCTTGATCCTTCGCCCTGTTGCCTACATATTGAGGCTATAGCCACCTCACCAGTGTGTTCTGTGGTCCTGCAGTTCCTGCGAGTCACCAAGCAGTACCTGCCTCATGTCGCACGACTCTGCCTGATTAGCACCTTCTTGGAGGATGGCATCCGTATGTGGTTCCAGTGGAGTGAGCAACGTGACTATATTGACACCACCTGGAGCTGTGGCTACCTGTTGGCCTCATCCTTTGTGTTCCTCAACCTCCTGGGACAGTTGAGTAAGTGGCTCTGAGCCTCTCTAATATACTTCTGGGGCATTTTGTTCCCTTGAATGATACTCCCCAAACTTGTGGTTGTTGGCCATTGAGAGACTGTGTGTGAACTTGAGGCCTGAGTACCCCCTTTTCAGGCTGAAGACTGATGGTGATGAAGACCCAGGTGCTTGTCATCTGAGATTACAGCTTTATCCATGCCCTGGGCTTGAAGCATGACAGCCATGGTTCATTTCTGTGACCTTTTGGATGCATGATCCATACCCAGTCTTGTGCTCATTTTTTTTGCTATAGAAATTGGACACAAGCCTGGTTGGTGACTCACACCTTTAATGCCAGCATTCAGGAGACAAAGGCAGAGGCTGCCTCTTTTGAGCTCAGGGCCAACCTGGCCTATGTAATAAAGCAAGTTCCAGGGAAGCTGGGTTATATAGTGAGACTCTGTCTATAAATAAAGAAAAAAGTTGGACACTGTCCCTGCTTTGTAAATGCAGGAGTAGATGCTAGAGCCCGGGCAGTTAAGGTAATCAAAGAAGGAGGTGTCCAGAAAGGATAAAGGGTTTTAGTCAGCAGAGAATCGGGGCTTTTGAATTCACATTGATCTTCTGACATCCCATCTTCTGGTGACAGCTTTCTTGCCTTTGCTTGTTAGGGGGTGAGAAAGGACTTGTGCTTTTAAGCATTTTGGATGGGCTCCATAGTGGAGCAGTCAGTCCTGCACTGGTGGCCCTTGGCACACAGAGCTATGGCTCTCCACAGCAAAGTATGATCTGGACTAGTGTGGTTCAGAAGCTGGGCAGGCTCCAGGGCATGGGCTTTGCCTGCCATCAAGGCTCTGGGAAGGTGCTTTGCTTGGGGTGCTGCAGCTCAGCAGCACTGGAACAGAGGTGTCGTCTTGTCCTGGATACACGCAGCCCCTAACTCTGTCCTCTTTCTAGCTGGCTGTGTTTTGGTGCTGAGCAGGAACTTCGTGCAGTACGCCTGCTTTGGGCTGTTTGGAATCATCGCACTGCAGGTACACAGACACCTAGTGCTTCTCTTGTTAAGTACATGGGCTGTGGGGTAGGTCTCACTTCGCTTTGCTTTGGTGGAGCTATATATTGTGTCTGGTATCTTCCCCCTTCATCTTATCCCTCCTGTGTATCTGGCTGTCCAGAGCTGCTTTTCCTTTTGGAGAAGTGACTAGTCTTCCCTCCTAGGTAGGGTTTAGGAGCAGATAGCCCCAAACAGGTGTTGGCCATAGGTACTGGGCCATCATTCCCCTTTTCCTGAACTTCTGTGACACAGACATAGGCCACAGATTGATTGCAGCTATATATGAACTGGGAGTCACTGCATTTGACAGATGAGAATGCCTAATTAGCTGGAAAGGCATGCTTAAGCAAGATAGTTCAGCCTATACTTGCAGATGCTTTGTGTTCTAGGACATTATAGTACAACTTCGTTAGTCAAACAGGTCCAGAGGCAACACTGTGCTCTGTTAGAAATTCTGAGCCATACTGTCCCAATGATCTGCCCTCAGTGTCTTAATAGTTTGTGTATTTTATGTTCTTATCCCATTGATGATCCTACCTCCTACTGCTAGGAAATCTATAGACATTAGTGTGAAAATGCTAATTCAATTTTTTCTCTGTTCCTTCAGACAATTGCCTACAGCATTTTGTGGGACTTGAAGTTTCTGATGAGGTAGGTGCATTTTGGGTGGCAAAGTGGAGTACTTAGCCCTCTCACTGGAGCACCTGTAGGCTAGTGCCACCTTCCGTAGTCTCCACTGTGCCTCTGAGAATAAGGGTTTCAATGGGCACAGCGGGCCTTTACCCTGCAGCTGGAATCCTGGCTTGATATGGGTCTTGTCTTCTAGCCCCATATCGTATGGGTGTGTAGACTGAGGGTTTGAGTAGAAGTGGGTAGAGACCAGAGCTTGATTCCATGATTATCCAGGTTTAACTTGAAGCTGGTCCTTTGTATTCAGCCTGTCCTTGTCCCATTGAGTGGTGGTTTGTTTGAAAGAAAGGAATGGTGGGCTTTGGTGTGCTCTGGCTTGGTAGACATATGCTTGGTAAATGTAGGTGACATTTCTGTTCCTCAGGAACCTGGCTTTAGGAGGAGGTTTGCTGCTGCTCTTGGCAGAGTCCCGCTCAGAAGGGAAGAGCATGTTTGCTGGTGTTCCCACCATGCGTGAGAGCTCCCCCAAGCAGTACATGCAGCTTGGAGGAAGGGTCCTGCTGGTCCTGATGTTCATGACCCTCCTTCACTTTGATGCCAGCTTCTTTTCTGTGAGTACCCTGAGCCATGTGCTGCCTGTTGGCACAGCTGTGCCTGAGCACAGCCTGAGATGAGGCCATGCTTGTAAATGAACCTGCCCAGCTCTGCTAGGGAAAGGCCAGTGCCCTCTGCAGACTCCTGACTACTCTACTTCAGAGTTCAATTCACACTGTTGGCCAATACATTCCGGTTTTATCTGTCACACATTAGAAGTTAGCATTGTTGGAGGTGGGGGAGGAGTGCTTTCCAGCATGGGTTTCTAGGCGGGTGTAGATGAAATGAGCTCTCAGAGTTACGGTGTAGAGACCAGGGGAGCACGTCAGCTGTTAACTATCTTTCCCAAATAGTCTACACTGAAATATGGTGCTTGGGGGCTGAGAGATGGCTCATTGGCAAAGAGTGTTTTTTCTGTGACCAGTTAGGACCAGAGTTCAAATCTTAGCATGAGAGTAACTATCTGGCGTCTAGCAAATGCCTGTAATCTGGCCTTTTAGGAGAGCAGAGGCAGGATTGTTCAGATTGCTTCTTCCCGTTCCCGTAGCTGAGGTGAGCTCTAGTTTCAGAGAGAGACCCTTCTTCAAAAAAAAAAAGATATCCAGCACTCTCTTCTGGCCTCCACCCTCCTCCACATATGCATATACTCAAACACAAATACAAACATATCCTTCTCTGTTTCTTTCTCTCTCTTTCTTCTTCTTCTTCTTTTTTTTTTTTTTTTTAATGTTCCTTGGCCAGTGTGTCACAGACCTAAAATCCTAGTGCCTGGGATACAGAGGCAAGAGGATTGTAAGTTCAAGGCTAGTTGGGGTTACACAGAAGAGACCCTGAAAAACTATCTTTCATTCTCTACCACATGGCCAAAGAACTTCTCACGTGTCCTCACATTTTCCTTGTTAAAAATTCAGTCTTTGTACCCTTATTTTACTGTAAACAGTCAGGATCAAAAGCAGCCACATAACCTGAATGCTTTGCTATTGTAGGTTTCTTCTGCCAGATAGAAGTTCTGTAGTCTGTAAGGTCCTAGGCGTGGACACAATGCAGCAGAATTCACTGCAGCTTCTTTCATCATCATCATCATCATCATTTTATTTTAGATTTTCAAGATAAAGTTTTCTGTCTGTTACCCTGGGTGGCTTCCTGGCCTAGAACTCAGAGATCCACCTGCTTCTGCCTCCTGAGAGCTGGAATTAAAGGTGTGTGCCACAACACCCAATCTAGTTTTTTTTTTTTTTTAAAGAGACAGGGTTTCTCTGTACAGCCCTGGCTTCCTGGAATGCTCTCTGTAGACCAGGCTGGCCTTGAACTCACAGAGATCAGCCTGCCTCTGCCTCCCAAGTGCTGGGATTAATGGCATGCACCACAACTGCCTAACGCATTGCAGTTTTCTAACAAGAATGGCTTTTCCTGTTTTACAAACCCTTGTTTCATGTTTACTGTTTTACATGTGCTGCAACAGGATGCTGGCCAAGGCCATTGAACATTACCAGTGACATTCCGGTCTTTCTTTTGTCTTCTCAGCTCTTCCCAGAGTTGCCGTCACTGCTCCATTCATTTCAATATGGTTCTCTAAATGTCTCCAACTTCTGATCATTACTGTTCTACAGTCAGGTGCTACTTTAGCAACAACCTCACTTCTTGATACCAGTTTTCTTAGTTCATTTTCTGTTGTAACTGAATACCACAGAAGGAGCACTTTATAGAGAATGATGTTATATTCAGCTTAGGGCTCGGGTGGCAGAGAGACCCAAGGTGAAGAGGTCACATCTGGTAAGGGTCTTGTGGTTAAGAACTCTGTAGAGTACCGAGGGAATACAGGGTATCACATGATGAGACTGAGGAACAAGCCTTCATTCACAGCCTAGTTACTCACCAAAGTTCTAGCAGGCAAACACCATTGATAGGATTTGGGGAATTTTCCAGCACATGGTATTTGGGTAGTACATATAAAACCAAAGCATCTTTTTTTTTCTTTTTTAAAAAATATTTATTCATTATGGATACAATATTCTGTCTGTGTGTATGTCTGCAAGCCAGAAGAGGGCACCAGACCTCATTACAGATGTTTGTGAGCCACCATGTGGTTGCCGGGAATTGAACTCAGGACCTTTGGAAGAGCAGGCAATGCTCTTAAACCACTGAGCTATCTCTCCAGCCCCCAAAGCATCTTTAATATAGAATTTTTTCTGGAAATTAGTATTGATACCCCCACATGCAAAAAAAAAAAAAAAGTTTTCCGGTTTGTGTGCTCCCTCTGCCTATACAGTCTTCAGCTCTCCTCCTGTCCTAGTGAGAGCTATATGAGCCTAGCTCAGATACAAGTGTGCACAGCTTTTTTCCTGACCTTTAGCCTGAATGTTTTTTCTTTGAATCTGTGCAGATCGTCCAGAACATTGTGGGCACAGCTCTGATGATCTTAGTAGCCATTGGTTTTAAAACCAAGCTGGCAGCTTTGACTCTCGTCGTCTGGCTGTTTGCCATCAACGTGTATTTCAACGCCTTCTGGACAATCCCGGTCTATAAACCCATGCATGACTTCCTGAAGTATGACTTCTTCCATACCATGTCAGTGATTGGAGGCCTGCTCCTGGTGGTGGCTCTTGGCCCAGGGGGTGTCTCCATGGACGAGAAGAAGAAAGAGTGGTAACAGACAGATCCCTCCCCTCCCTGGCTGAGGCACAAGGCCCTGGACTGGTTCAGGGTAGACAACAAACTGCCAGCGTTTATGTGTCCTCTTCCCTTCCCTTCCTTTGGTAAAGGCACAGATGTTCTGAGAACTTTATTTGCAGACACCTGAAAACTGAAGGTAAAATCTGCTTTGGAAACAGTCTGGAGTCTAACTATCCAGGGCTGGGCAGCTGGATGGTCATTCCTTAGCCAAGGATTCGAGTAGACAGTGTGGTGGGCTATGGCCTCAATCCTGTCTTTGAGTTTCTTTTGAGGGATGAGGGCCTTCAAGTTGTACTGAGCTATACTTTATCATTCAAAGCAGTTTCCCTTTTAGTTTTAAGTTTACATCCTTAGCTCATACTACTAAATGACTTAGGATGGTCCAGCCAAACACCAAACAGTTGAAACCTCTAGTTCAGAATCCTACCAGTGGCCCAGCATTGCTTCTGCCCCTGTATTTTATAGGATCAATGAAGATGTTAGAGAAACTCCAAGCCTAGAGAATAGTAAAGTATTGGAGAGGTGGCTGCTACTGCTGGCCCAAGTCCTTGGTGTCAGCTGGCTGAATGCTGTTTCCTGGGTCAAAGGTACCCTGGCTCCAAGCAGGGATGGGATGGGTCAGGGGTAGGAAGTTCTTGGAAAGCTGCTGGTTTAGGTACTGCTATCCCCTCCAGCTTGGTGGTGGGAAGGGCAGGAGATCCAGCTGCTCACAGGATGGCCCACCACGGAACCAGCTTGGGGAGCAGTAATGCCATGTGGCCCAGAAATGAGGAGCCCCAGTACTGAAGTGACACCCAGGCTCAACCCAGTTACCTCACACTTGACCTTCTCAGAGCAAGGCCTGGACCCCACAGACCGTGCTCCCCCCAGCTTAACTCCTTGTTCCAGGCTGAGTTTACCCCATCGACAGCCCTGATGACACCATTTCCCTGAGGCTGTTGCTTGCTCAGATTTTTGTCAACTTGCTCTGCTGGATGCAGCCAAGATACTTTTTACAATTTGTGATGCCTTACCAATTTGATCTCAGTCCTGTATTTAAAGTTTTCTAACATTGCCTTATACCGTGTTTCTCTTTTTGCGGGGTGGGGAAGCTGTCTAATGCTGTGGTCCTGCTCATCTGTATGGTAGTGCCATGAGGGTGGTTGGGCTCCTCCTCCACCTTCCCCAGGTCTTTTGGAGGAGACAGGTAGACAGGCTTAGAACCCCTGGAAAGGAGCTGGCAGCTCACTTACCCTTAGGTGCAGAGTCCTGGAGGTGTCCTCCTTTCTGGCATCAGCTGGGTAGGCAGGACTGTGTCCTCTTGAGTCACCTTGGGTCAATCCTGCCTCTTCCCCTTGCCTCACGGGCTCTGCAGTCTGAATTCACCTTCTCAACACCCAGCCCGTGTTCCGCAGCCTTACAGCCGGCCTACTCCTCCCTGTGTGAGTTTCAGCAGTGGCTCACGCCATGACATTTCCTTACAATCAAGTCCCTTGACAAGCAGAGCTGCCTCAGTGTACACCCACCTGCTCCGTTACCTGCAGTGGCAGCCCCGTAATATTCCAGTTTGTGGAATGGGGCAGACCCTAGGAGGCAAATGCATGCCTCTCAGCAGCAGCCCCCATCCCAAGGATACCCTGGCCCATCTACCAGCTTTCTGGGGGCTATGCCTGGGATGGGACAAAAAAAAAAAAAAAAAAAAAGATCTACACATTGGTTTGGCAAAACGGTTTCTGAAAATGCTTTAGCTTTATGTGGGAATAGGTATAAACCTCATTTTTATGCTGTATTTTATATCTTAGTTGTGTTTGAAAATGTTTTGATCTTTGGAAACATCAAAATAAATAATGGCATTTGTGGTATATAGTGTGATCCTATGTGGTGACCAGCCAGGGTGCGGGCCTGGCAAAGACAGGATGCTACAGTGAGTCACTAAAGACCACAGAAAAGCCATGTTCGGAGAGGAATCTTCAAATCCCTGCTGCTGGCACCTTCTGAACAGAACCTCCAGGCCCACTCTGGGCAACAGCCAATGTCAGGACATCGGTGGCCAGTTCCAAGGACACCCAAAGGCTTTCTCTGCACAGTTCATTTTCCCAGCTGCTTAAAGGAAGAACTGAAGTTCTTGGGCTTGTGGTGATGATGGCTCTTGAACTTCTTGGTCAACGAGGTGAACTGCTTCTGTGAAAGCAGAAAATAGTGACCAGGGCCTTTGCATGTCCACATGGAAGGAAGGCACTGTGTGTCTAAGGCTGAAAAGCAGCCTGTGTTCTTGACAGTTTTCCCTTTTATGCTGGGGCAGTGTGTGGCCAGAGTCACTCCAGACATTGTCCACCTGGCTTCTCTAACAGAATCCTCACTCCTGTCACTTAGAGAAGTGGTGCCCAGCAGCTAATCCTTAGTCCTGTGTTGTAGGGCACCCAACTCAGAGCTGAGAAGCCATTGGTCAGGACCTGCTCCTGGAGACCTTCTGAAGTGGCCTCGGCTTCCATATTTATAGGCTGTTAGGTTGACTGCACTACTTGCAGAATTTGTTAAAAGTATGGGGAACACTAGCTATCCAGCCTCACTCGGCCAGGCTGTGTAGCCCTCCTGACCTCAGCACTGTGCGGCACACACTCACCTTTCTGAGTTTACTACTCCTCTTGCGGTCCACTTTGACTTCTCTCCTCTCCCCAGTGCCCTTCTCTCTCGACTGCTTTGGCTTCTTTTCCTCTTGGTCTGTCAGAAAGTCTTCAGTAGTGTCGTTCTCAGGCTTGCCCAGATCCTTTTTTGTGAACAGCTCAGCTGGAAGGAACAAACAACCTGCCTGAGCTACGCCACAGGTAAAAGCATTGCTTTCCTGGGAAAGCTGGCTAACAGATTAGGACCACAAGATACCTAGCAGGAGGCGAACAGGAGGGCAGGAATCGGGCTGTGCCTACTCACGTGGGTACAGGTCTGTCATGCTGTCATCACTCAGGGATCCTCCCTCGTCACTGGAAGCTGGCTCCCAGAAAGCTGTTCTCTGGCCAGGTAGCCCATCTCCCTCCATGTGGTCCTCCCTCTTCCTCTTCTTGTGCAATAAGCAGGCAGGGACATACTCCACACCTTGTTTCTGACACTCCTCATCTAAGAGACCAGCAAGCTTACTTACACTGGTGTTCTCTTGGTACGAAGCTAAGCTATGGGCGGTATTATGGCAGTGTTTTATTCCTCTACCCTACTGGACAGACATGGACAACCCGGAACCTCTGGACCTCAGGGTCAGCTGACTGATCTTCTGTCTCCTGAGTGACTTCATGGAAGGCCTTGCTAGGGTTACCACTGCTATCCTCCAGGTACTAAGGAGGCATAGCTTCTTGGGCTTCCCAGTTGGTCCAGAACCATCTCCTTAGGGTGACAGTCTAACTGGGGCCTGGCATCTCTAGGGTCTTCCACTTCATCTCTGCCATCTGCTCCCAGGACCACTACGGTCTGTCTGCTCAATGAGTACCAGCACAAGGTCGTCTCCCGGTGTCCTCAGCAGGCCACTACTATGAAGTGGTCTCACTGCCTTCTGGCTCCATCTTTATAATTCTCTCTCATGGGGATCCCTGCCCAGCACCTCCCTGTTACAACCCAGCAGATGACAAAGCTAACAAAGGCATATCCAAGCCGAGCTCCAAGATGTGTGGGAAGATCTGGTTGTGCTGCACAGGACACAGCCTGCACATTCCGCCCGATGGGCAGGAAAGAGGCAGTGCCATCCCTGAAGCCTCCCACTTATCCCCAGCTTCTGCATCCTCCCTACCTCCCCATCCCTCCTTGCCAAGGCCTGGCTCTGCCTAACTCCTTCACCCCCGTAGCCTCCGAATGACCTAATCTCAATCACTTTCTCACCCTCTTCGTCCTGTGGTGGCATGGGAGACCTTCCTTGACGTCCCTGGTCCTCAAGCTGGCCTTATCTCAAGTCTCCTGGCCTGGCACCATCCTCCCTCCCTAACCCTCCTGGAGGTTAAAATACCACAAGAGTCCCCACTCTCAACCACTTGGGATGCCTTCCCACCCCTGGCTGCGCCCATCAAACACCAGGTCTGTCTGCAAGTCCCTAGAAGGCTGTTTGCACCAATCCAGGTCCTGACAACAGTCCCCAAGGCTCTCTTGCAGTATCAGATGACTGGATCCTGGAGTTCTGGCACTGCAGCCTCAGCCTGCTGTACAGCAGCAGGCCTCCATACCACTCACCACAACTCCTTCCCAGCCCACTTCCGGCTTTACAGTGGTGAGGTCAGGAGCCATTCCACTACCCTCTCACGTGCAAGACCAACCAAGTATACCAACAGTGGACAATGAAGGAAGGTCAAGGCACCTTTCTGGTTGGGGGCAGGGGACACGCATCCTCAAGATAGGTAACAGGTGACTTACATTGATGAAGTGCTCTCTGATACCTCCGGCCCTGGACATGCCTCAGCACATGCTCTGGGGACTTGTTGATGTGCCTCAGGGTGAGTTTGCAGAACAGTTGGTGCCTACAGGGCAAACAGAGGGGTATGGAGGGGCAGTGCATACCAAGGACCAGACCTGTGGGCTCCACCATGACTGCAAGCTACAAACACCCAAAGTCCTGGGGGCTGTTCTGCATTAGTCTCAGTGCCTGGACTTTGACAAACTTCCCAACCACAGGGCATGGCTGTCTATTATCCCAGCACTCAGGAGGCAGAGAGGCAGGCTGGTATCTGAGTTGAGGTCAGCCTGGTCTACATAGTGTATTCCAGATCAAGCTACACAGTCTTACTTTCGAAAACAGCTTCCCAAACAATTCCACTCAGCATCTGGGATTAAGAATCCAGATTGTCACCCAAGAAAAAGAAACTGCTCCAGGGTGCATGTATGGGGAAATGGCTCAGGAAGTCCCATGTGAGGATCTATCATCCACACAACCATAGGGTCCCCAAACAGTGAAAGTGGCACTGTCCAGCCTGGCCTCAGGTGACTATGTAAGGGGACGTGTCAGTAGAAAGCCATTATACATTTAGAACAGGGAGCACAGGCTCTGCACCCAGGCGCTGGCCGGCCACCTACGTACGGATTCTTTGTGCTGGGCACGATGTGTGGCTCGAATGCTGTGTAATCGAAGGCCGGGGAGGCTCTGGACAGCCGCTGGTACTTCTTGCCGCTGGTGTAGACCTGAAGCTCCGGCAGACGGCAGGGTAGCTCATGGCCGGTTAGAGAGCAGCGCACCTGTGGATGGACCGCCTGTCCACAAGTGGTTCTTGCCAGCCCCGCCCCTCCCTTGTCCCGTCCTCCGGGTCCCACTGCTTTCCAGGCACAGTACTCCCGGGTCCCACTCCTCCCCGGCCGGAACGGTCCTTCCGGGTCTCACTCCTCCCGAGTCCCTTTCCTTCCTGGTCCTACTCCTCCCTGGCACGGTTCTCCTCGGACCTTCTGAGTATTCGGCAGCAGCCTCAGGCTGGGGTGCTGGCACAGGAAAGCCCGCACATCAGCTGGTAGTTCGTCCATGATCTGAGATGCTCCTCTGACGCCGCTGCTACCACGTGGGTCAGAGTGCCGTCCCGTCCCGGAAGCAGATTTCTCGGTCCCGGAAGTGTTCAAAGATGGCGGCGGTGAAGGCTTTCTCTGTGCTGCGGCAGAGCTTGATGCGGTGGCACCAATGGTCTTGCCCGCGGCTGGTGAGCGCGGGGACGTGGAGGGGCCCGGGAGAATCGAGCCTGGAGTGGAATGGGGCCGAGGACCCTTCCCAAGAGGGCTTTGCCTGGGGTGGAGCAGGGCCAGGGGTGGACCTTGCCTAAGAGGCTCTAGCCTGGGGTGGTGCTGGGCGGGAAAGACCCTGTCCTGTACCAAGCCCAGGTGCACGCTCTTGGCGTCCCTGAGCTTAGAGCCCCGCGGCCTGTTCGGTCCCCGCAGGCCCCGCTCCGCGTTTCCAGAAGGAACACCCTCGGGCTTTCTTTCCGCTCAGGTGAGAAGGGCTCAGACCTGGGTGCGGTTGGACACCTGTCTCCATTCAGCCCGCAGTGGTCTACTGGGAGCATATTGGGCACAGGTGCTGTTAATTGCTCCTTTCTTTACATCCTCTGTGGGCATAACCCAAGTCTGTTCGAGGAATTGGCCACCCAGTTCTGTTTGTTCTAGGCCTTCTGACCCCATGCCAGTATTGTAAAACTCCCTCCAGGGATGGTGTGGAGACCAAGCAGGTGCTACAGTTCTACTGCTGAAGCAGCCGCCTCTAAAGCAGAGGACGACTCTTTTCTCCAATGGTTCCTGCTTCTCATCCCTGCTACTGCTTTTGGCCTGGGGACTTGGCAGGTGAAGACCAGGGTCTAATTTGGGTATCTCTGAGCCTTGGACCCCACTGATGTCTGCTTAGCTCATGTTGTTTCTGTAGGTCCAACGTCGGAAATGGAAGCTGAAACTGATTGCAGAATTAGAGTCTCGAATAATGGCTGAGCCCATTCCTCTGCCTGCCGAGTGAGTGTGACTGCCCACCCAATCCATCCCACTTAGGAGCAGCGTGGGGCCCTGGCTTGTTTGGTGTCTTCTTAGTAATTTCTGCCCTTGGGCAGGGTCCTCAAAATTTCCCACTAGACTGGCTACTGATTGCCTTTATGAAACTGCCAAAGAGCATGGAACATAAATAGGGGGGATGTATTTTTGATGCCAGATTTCCCTTTTCAGGTCTTTCAAGGATCCCCCATAGTGGTGAGGCTTAGGTACTTAAGATAGGTAACAGGTGAAATTTGACTCAACCCATAATTTTCCTTGCAGATCTACATTCTCATATGGCATCAGAGGCTGGTGCTGAGATCACCTCTATGGAGGGACACAACTTGTAATCTGATGATCCTCACTGGGCCTTTCTTATTTCTTACCCTTTCTGCCTGGTGGGGTGTGGTAGCTTTGTCAACATTCTTAGACACGCATGGCTTACCCACAGCCCTTCCTCCTTGTAGCCCAATGGAACTGAAAAACCTGGAGTACAGGCCAGTGAAGATCAGGGGGCACTTTGACCACTCCAAAGAGCTGTACATGATGCCTCGGACCAAGGTGGACCCTGCTCGAGAGGCCCGTGATGCTGGCCGAATCTCCTCCTCAATGGAAAGTGGAGCCTATGTAGTCACTCCTTTCCATTGCTCTGACTTGGGGTGAGTAGGCTATGGCCTGGCAGCTTCCCTCACCGTGCTCAACCAACCTTCAGACCCTGGGGAGTCCATGAGATTCAACTAATACAGCCAGATCATTTCCAAGGTCTCCAATTCTGACATTAAGCAACTGTCTTAGCCAGTTCATTGATAGGGTTTGATCAGTGAGGCTGTGTTGGACTGTATCCACAGAACAATTCTGTCTAACTGTCCTGTAGATGTCGCAGTGACCATTAGTGATGATCTGTGCTGGAACCCTTCCTCACCCAAAGGGACACTTTTATTGTTTCAGAGTTACCATCCTGGTTAACAGAGGGTTTGTTCCCAAGAAGAAAGTGAATCCGGAAACCAGACAGAAAGGCCAGGTAAGAGGCTTTTCAGCTTGGGATATTATAATAATCTACCCATTTTCCATGTAGGACTGTCTCATCTTTCTTCATAGGTTCTTGGAGAAGTAGACCTCGTTGGCATAGTGAGGCTGACAGAAACCAGGAAGCCCTTTGTCCCTGAGAACAGTCCAGAACAGAATCACTGGCATTATCGGGATCTGGAAGCTATGGCCAAGATAACAGGCGCAGACCCCATTTTCATTGATGCAGACTTCAGTATGTTGTGGTAGCCTGGACCCTCCCACTTCCCCTTCTTTCCCTGGCACCTACAGTTTGATATGGGGCAGAGGAACACCCAGTTGGCTTTTAGTAGGGAACTGACAGTGCTGGAGTCCCACTGGAGGTGGACATTAAGTTCTATTGTCTCTGCAGAGAGTACAATCCCTGGAGGACCCATTGGAGGACAGACAAGAGTCACTCTTCGGAATGAGCACATGCAGTACATCATTACCTGGTTAGTCCTCCTTCAGTCTTGTCACAC